CTACGCTGAGATTGAAGCCAAGGTGAACTCTAATTTACACCAATTCTCTGGGGCTTTGGTATAGTAGTATCTTTCTATTCTGCTGCAAAACGAATAGAAAATTCTCAAACCAATTCTCTTTCTAATTTATGCGTTATCTTTTTATCTACAATTTGATATGTCCAGGAACGGCTTGGAGAAGAATTGGTGATGGCAAAGGAGGAATTACATAAAATGTCAGGGCTTCTGAAGGTATTATCCATTCTCAATGTGTTCCTGGACGAGAGTAAATTATTATGTCTGAAGACGTTCATTATGCTTTCATAACTTCCTATAATGTGACAGCCCTCAGGACAGCAGTTGAACTGAAGATGTGCTTTATCAAACATCTGATAGATATGAATTAAAACTTAAAATGGATGTCTTTTAGCTTATATATTTCATAAGTTCCTATGGTTTATAGGGATTCCAAGTCCAGCAGAAAATGCATAGAAGCTTTTGTAATTTGTGCATAATTAGAGCTAATTTAAGAGCATATGCTCATTTTCATGACTTCATCCAACCTTCCGGCTCATAGTTTCTATTGCTCTCTTTCTAAACGTGATTTATGCTTCCATCAGGATGCTTACAATGAGTCAGAAACATTAAAGAAAGAGAAGGAAGAGGTGTTAGTGAAACTTTCGGACATGGAAAGAAGACTTTCTGAAGGGAAGGGCCGTATAAGTAAGCTTGAACAAGACAATGAAAAGCTACGGCGAGCTGTTGAACAGAGCATGACTAGGCTGAATAGGATGTCACTGGATTCTGATAATTATGTCGACAGGTGAGACTTTGTCAAACCATGGAATGTTGCATATTTTTATCTCTTCTAACATTTGTCTCATGATTCTAACATCAAAATCTATCAGCTACGAAAGCTGATACACGTGTGAGATCTTCGTCAACAATTTCTTTTTCCCTGTTCTAATTTTTTCTGCTGCAGTAAAGATGGAGATGAAAATAAAATAATACTTTTACTGGTATGTTGCAGGTTTGATTACCATGTATTACACCTGTTTACTAATCATCTTACCTATGAAGCTCATGCCTCTGGTTTGAGAATATTATAATAAAAGATTTTCCACTTCTATAGTTTGGTATGCGGCAACCTATAGTCATTAAACCTTTATTTTTGCTGCAAAACTTAAAGTAGCTTAGTCATACAGAAACAATATCAACAAGGCAGTGGATGGATGAAGTGCTGTCATATGCATCTATAATCTGATATACTCACTTGTTTAGTAATTTATGAAATTGCCGCTGCAATCTTATGAAGTCACATTGATTTGTCATGTGTTGGCTGATGTAACAATATTTGGACTCTAGGTTCCTCATTACTTTTTTGGCATTCTTCCCATGAATATTCTGGTTGAACCTTAGATGCTACATCAGACTGTTTCTTCCCACAGTCAAAGAAAACAAGCTCTCTCAGTCTACTTTTTGGTCCTTTTCCTACGTCATCATCTCTCTGCTACTCGGCCAGTAGTGAATTACAGTTGTTCTAACATTGTTCAGTAGTTACCTTACAGTGGTTTGAAATATTTTAAAACACAATTCTGTGATGTGCAGGCGGATTGTAATCAAGTTACTGGTGACCTACTTCCAAAGGAATCACAGCAAAGAGGTATGAGTAATCTCTTAACTAGTACGAGGCAGGGGGAGGGCTTGGATGAATACTTAACCCATTGGTAGTTATTTGTGCGTTGAGAAGGTCTGACCTGGTCGCAAAAGGAAAGAGTGAAGAAGACAAATCAATGGGAAAACTCATTTTCATCCTAAAGATTCCATCTGTCCAGGCATATATTCACAAGGAAAAAAATAAAAATAAGCTAGCACCAAGTTAGCGCTAGTACATTATTATCGTCAGAACCCTCCTATACATAAAAGCAAAAGGAAAGGGTTCTTCTTTACATTTATGTATAATGAGTTGATGAAATATAGCTATTTTCATCTTTGACTTCTTGAAGATCAACCAAATAGCCAAAAGTCATAAGCATCTAACCTTAATCTTTCTGTACAAAATCTGCTTTTCTTTCAAAACATCTTGCATTTCTTTCCTTCCATAATATCCAACAAACAGAAGCTGGTGTGGTGTTCCAGATCCTTTTCATGTTTCTATGAGAAAGATTAATGACCAGATAAGACTTGCCAAGGACAGTGAAGGAATAAGCGGCTGGATTTTTCTTCACTACTGTTACACATAAAGCACCAGTTGCATGATGAAAACCCTCTCCTCTGTAGTCGTGCTGAGTCGGGCACGCCTATTGCGCAATCAACCACATAAAACAACAAACTTTTATGGGGGGGCCTTGGAGTTCCACACTTGTTTCCATGGCTAGCTAGTAGGATTGCTCCCCTCACTGCCTACTGTTTTATAGAACGAATTACCATAAAAGTTCCATTCTTTTGCCTAGTTCAGAGGTACTATTAGAAACCTCAACACTTTGTTCAAATCTTCCAAAAAGAGAGCCATTCTTAGTACCTTCCAATCGAAACAATTCCTTCTGAAACTAATAGACCAGCTACTACCATTCCAGGTGTTCGAGAAGAAGTTGTGTGTTAGTGGTGAAGTCCCCTCACTGCCAATTGTTTTATAGCACGAATTACCATAAAAGTTCCATTCTTTTGCCTAGTTCAGAGGTACTATTAGAAACCTCAACACTTTGTTCAAATCTTCCAAAAAGAGAGCCATTCTTAGTACCTTCCAATCGAAACAATTCCTTCTGAAACTAATAGACCAGCTACTACCATTCCAGGTGTTCGAGAAGAAGTTCTGTGTTAGTGGTGAAGTCCCCTCACTGCCAATTGTTTTATAGGACGAATTACCATAAAAGTTCCATTCTTTTGCCCAGTCCAGAGGTACTATTAGAAACATCAACATGTAGTGGCACTTTGTTCAAATCCTCCAAAAAGAGCCATTCTTAGTACCTTCCAATTGAAACAATTCCTTCCGAAACTAATAGACCAGCTCCTACCATTCCAGGTGTTCGAGAAGAAGTCTGTGTTAGTGGTGAAGTTATATAGGTCCTGATATTATAGCTGTAGCAGCGAGTGACCTTCCCAAGACATGCCAAAATCTTGTATTTCTACCATTCCCCACCTTTATCTTTATGTTGGTTTCTGAAGACTGCCACAAACTGCAAATAGTTTCCAGAGGCCTAATCCCTGTTAAAGATTCCATCTAGCCTTGGTAACACTATTTTACAGTTTACTGACCCCAAAATCATTTGAAATTTTAATTTAGGTGGGGTATAAACAAAGAAGATATGTAACATTTATGTATATAATGGAGGACCTTGAGGGACCTAATTGTGAGGAAACACATTGTTGGCCCTAGTGGGAGAATTATTGGATAATAGGAGGAAAGGGTTTCTGTTTGATGCATGTATTTATATCTCAATTTTTTTTTAGGTTTTGGATCTTATGGTTCGTATGCTAGGATTCTCTGATGAAGACAAGCAGAGGATAGGCATGGCTCAGCAAGGATCTGGTAAAGGTGTTGTCCGGGGTGTCTTTGGTCTCCCTGGCCGACTAGTTGGTGGCATCATGGGTGGAAGTTCAGTACCTTCTACTACGGCATCAGATCAGGTAAATTCCTGTTCCACTGATCATAGTGCTTTCTTTTACTTTATGACTGTCCTGTCAAGTGGAGATAGTAACCTAGAAAAGTAACTAACAGAAATGACATTGGCCTATTAGTTTTCTTTACTTTGGCTCTAAATTACTCAATTCTTCCAATTTATCAACTTCCAGAAAATGGTGTATCTTCCATTTGTTCTATTTCTCCATTTTGAACTAGTTGGCAGAAGTTAATTGGACCCACATATACGTTTAAATATGCTGTCAGTGGAACTGTGAAATGAACATGTCTCACCACTTACTGTGGTACAAGGCTGTAAGTCAACTTTTGATGTACTACTATTAGAATGCAATTCTTTGTTTTCCCCTGTAGTCCTGCTTAAGTAGATTGATGCATCTTGTAGAGTTTCGTATCATCTCCATGCTACTTCACTGTTGTTATTTTTTATTTATTTTTCATTGTGTTCTCTGTTTCTGTGCATGTTTTCTGAATATTTAGTTTGCTGGAGAAATGAGGAGGGGGTATAAATATTGGTTTAGTGAAATTTCAAATGTATCATCAAATGAGGGTTTAGTTTCTTTGGACTTGTTCTTGTTTACTATAAATAGGTCCTTAAATTTGACGTTTGTTGCTTTGCTTCTGGACTGTCAATGCAGTCCTTTGCAGATCTCTGGGTTGATTTTCTTCTCAAGGAGAACGAAAGAGAGAAAAGTGAGGCTGTCGAAGCTGGCAATGGAAATACAGGAGATCAAATCAAGGGTGCAGATGCAACCCCAGCAGAACATAGGTCAAATAATGCTGGTGGTTCGTTTGTTTCCCCGAGACCACAATATTCTCCTAAGCACAACCTGCCTCCTTTGGCACCAAATTCACGGCAAGTTATCCTGCCACCTGAGCAATCCGATACCGAATTCTCAACAGTACCTCTTACCCCATTGGAAACCAATTATGATATCTCAAGAGTACCTAGATACTGATAGCATTGCTGTAACTAATAGGAGGTATATATTTTGCTTGTGTTGTATTGCAATTCTTTTGTTCAATCAATTCTTTCCAAAAATGAGTAGGCGTTTGTTTGATGTAATCTTTATCTTATGGCCGAAGCTGCCTACACATCAAAGGAGAAAAAAGAAACAGATCTAACGGAGCTTTTGATATTTTCATGAACAAAAATATAACCTGCTTGGATGTCTCTATCACATTGATTTCTTACTTATCTCGACCAAGCACAAAGACAATAAATGAATGAAGAGCTCAAGATTTTACAGCTTACACCAATTATTTGACAAGCCTTATATCTTCATTTCTTCCTGTACACATACCAGCCCTAATCCAGTAATGAAACCACAAACCGGAATCAACCAACTGAAAAATAAACAGATCAAATATGATTCAGGCGGCTATGGATCAAACAGGTTAGACCATCCCAGCTTTGATACAAGTGAAAGCAATACAAACAAATGCAGAAGAACACAATGTAAATTTTGTTGAACTTATACAATGACATCTTGTGAAACGACAGTCAGATACAGACTCACACCTAACAGACTAAACCTCCCAACTGTTTCTAGATTTATCCCCAATTAATAAAACCCCAAATACAAGGATAACACTCAGCCTCACGTAAATACAAGAGAAGTACTATCACATTCTGAAACCTTTCTAGCGGAACGAAGCACCACCACATCTAATCTTTCTTCTTATCTTTCAGTGGTCCTCTTGGAATTTTACTCAAAACCTTTTCATCAAACACAGCATATTGCTTCTTGATCTCGTGCATTGCTTTCTCGGCTAATGGATCCACTTTATCTTCATATTTCTCATAAATAACAGGAACGGTGTGGAGGAGCACAAATGCTGCCAAATTGGAAGGAGGATCAACAAAATGAGAAGCAGTGACAAAAAAGGAAAAAATAAAAGATACATCTAATGAACTTCTAAACTTACATATATAGAACAGAGTCAAAAAGTTGCACCAGCTACCAACAATTGAGAGGATCCACAAACCAGCAATCACCTGGTAACATGGGTAAGTTATGGTAAGTAAACAAAGATGAATGAACGCCAAAGAAATTTCGCATATTTACTCTTTTGTGCCATCATTCAAGATCAGAAAAAAATTTTGCTAAAGAAAAATAGAAACAAGCACCTTTGGTAACTTATTTCACAACAGACTGATATTATGAACCTTTGGGGTGTTGAATTTGGGAAAACCACAAACATGGTAAAGAACAATTTAGACTTCTTATCTGGCATGAATGGAACAGGCTAAAAATCTAGAGATTTTAGACATACTCTAAGACTACATGTCCAACTATGTTATCTAATGTCTCTAGAAACTAAAACAGAACCTAAATACTGTCTACCAAGTCAGGATCAATAATAGGAGGGGGAGTTAGCATGCAGGCCTGCCAAAATGGGGGAAAGCAGACATATATAAGATGAAACCCAACAGAAGATGAACACCAATCGATCTCCAGAGGTGGACGAGGGAAGGCTGTGTCACACTAACGGACATCACCAATTACAGCAAACATTCCAATAAACTACACTCAGGAAAGAGCAGCAGAAATGGGCACACTTACAGCAAGAAACTTCTTCAGTTCTCTCCCTGATGCAATTTCTCTCAGTAGATCAAGAGCGCGATTAATTTCGATCCTCAGGGCAGAAGCCACCTGAAGGATGGGGCCTTCTGGAAGGTGGACTTCTGGGATATGAGGAGGTTTTCTGTCAAAATGATAGAAACACATCCTCAGGAGAGTGTTAATATAAATTGAAGAAGAATCTAAACTAAGAACTGGATAAGCTTACTTGTTAATAAAGGTGGTTGCATTTGACCACAAGAACAAGACTGCGAGAGTGATGATCAAAATGTGGCAGATTAAAGTGAGCAGGTGGTACTCGAGCAATTCGAAAAGAACCCAGATAGCAGTTGCTCCACCAATTACAGTAGCAGATATCTTTTTGTTCCTCCACAAGAAAACATCAGCAGCTGCAACAATAAGATGCATATTCAATCAATCACTCAACTATGTCTCAATCACAATTTAATTGGCATCACCAATCAGATACTTATCCAAACAATACTAATATACATGAAAAGCATCCATCTGCTCAACTTAGATCAGACAAAGAACTCATGGTCCCTCATTTGATCTAAGCAAATCCAGATGTTAGAGTAACCCTTTTTCAAATAACATTTTTTTGTATCTGAAGATACTTCGTGAACTCTAAGCCGTAAGCAGCACCCTCACCACCAATCATTAACCAAATATTCGAGTCCTTCAATATATAAATAATCAAACCAAGAATATTAGGTAGCTGTTGCTCTAAACAAACACGTATACAAGCATTATAATAAGTTAAGCAGATCTAAATATTATTTATGATACCTCGAGAAGCCAAAACTGTAGTAGAGAGATTCAAGACCTCAACCACCTATCATTTTCATTTCAAAAAATTCAATCCTTAACCTAAAGTACGTAAATTTTGAACTGTTGTTTGCTCAATTGACTTAAAAAAGCATCTGCACGAGCATGATAATTCATTTGGATCTAAAGATTCATTAAACCCTAAAGCTTCATCAATTCCTCAACAACCAGTCACTTCAACTCCAATAGTTTAACACAACTACTGGACTTAGATATTCTTCAAGGTCCCCGGAAAAAAGAACATATCCTTTAAGATCCGCCAAACGCCTAGAGCCCGATCAAATTCAGCAACCACCAATCACACTTGGATCAGGAAAAAGATCAATCTTCACAATCGAAAAAAGCATATAGTGTAAAATATTTGAACTCTTGATCGCTCAGTTGCAGTTAAGAAACACGTTAATGAACCTGAATATTCTTTACGATCCCCACAAAACCCTGAAAACCCTCTCAACCGCCAAATCCAGAATTTTCAGTCTATAAACAAATAAACATAGAAAAGTTCAAGTAAGTAGAGAAATAGATAACAGAACCATACGTTTGCCTCCACCGAAAACCTTGTGAACCGGTTTTTCTCTTCCGAATAACCTCCAAACTTTGTTCTTCAACGTCTCCGTCTCCGGCTCAACCTCCGATTTCACTGCCGGTTTCTTCGTCTCAGTATCTGATTCCGACGACGACGAGGAATCGTCACCGTGAAACTTGTCGGCGATCTTCTCCAACAACGACTCCCCTTTAGGATCCGAATTCTCAACGTGCTCGGCCATTTTCTGATTCAGAGCTCCGATTCAATCAACCCAATACTCTGAGTGAAAAAGAAACGACTGTACTGCCGAGAAAATTGTGAAAAGATTGATATTTATGTTTTTGAAAAACGGTGAAGTGAACGAGGAATGTCCGAGCCTAAGGCTCGGCTTTTCCGAACCTAAATTTAGTTAATTTTGAAAATACCCCCTCCCCTTTTTTTCGTCCAAATATAGAAAAGAGATTATATAGAAATTTGTACTTCAATGATGCATCGTAATAAATTATTAGACCTAAACTTCAATCACAGATTTTAAGATTTAAGATTGTTCAAAATCTACACTATTTTAATATGTCAAGAATAAAAAACAATTATGAATTTTTTCTCATTATAATTAAACCTTTTGCATTACTGTTTCCATGTGTTGAGAATAAAAAAACAATTAATTGTCTTCACCCAAATCTTTTGCATGTATGTGCTTATTTTATATTAAATAAAAAGTAAATTTGATGTGACTTTGCGTGATGTTTAGTGTGAGTCATAAGTTTATTGAAAATTATTTCCTTATTCTATAAAAAATTTATATCTTAATTCTATAAAAAATGAAAAATAAAATTTATATATATCCTCATTTATGAAGAGGGGGGTGGCCGACTAGTGATGAATGAGGGGGACACGTGTCGGAGAAAAGTAGGGCTTTTGATGATTTGGCGGTGGAGATTGGACTTTAGTAAAGCATTGTGGGCTCCACATTACCTGGAGATCAGATTGAGAAAGTAACACCAACACTTTTTTTTTTCCTCATTTGTTATTGTAAAAATAATTTTCCTTTTACAGCATGTTGCATATACAAACTTAAACTATATAAGAGATGAAAATTGAAAAGGTAAAGTAAACGAGAGAGAAGAACAGCAAATAAAACTATATAAAGAGAGAAAAACAGCACAAAAGGCCCAAAAGTAGAATGGTAACAATTTTATAACAAGCGAAAACAGCGATATATTAGGCGTAAAATTTCTATAAAATAAAGAATAGACATAGCTTTCTCCTATCTTAAAAGTACGTAGATTGTCTTTAATAGAACCTTGGATCAGTTAAACATAAATAAAAATATTTTAAAAAAGAAATAATATAAATAAAAAAATCATGATAAAATATTTAAAAGTAGGTACATAATCAACATTCATCAAGATACCATTTTTTAAAAAAATAATCCTAGTTAATAAATTCATCACCTAAAAAAAAAACTAAAAGTTGATCTCTGATGTAATCCCATCACATAGGAAACGTGGTAGGAATTACAAGCAAAAAATTTTGATTTCACCGATAAGTGAAAGTTCAGATAAACAACCACTTTGATTTGATTTTAGCGCCATGAAAAAATTAAAGAATTCAATTCTAGTAGTACTATCTTAGGAATTTGGTCCATCTTTCTTTGCCCATTTGTTCTAGCACTTCTCAATTCTCACTTTTACAAATTAGGCCCATCCAAAATGTGCCTAATTGACGTTAGGCTACACCTTTGGGCCTTTCAAACTTACACAAGATATTTCATAGTAATTTGTAAATCAAATACATCAAGTATCATCAATGTTGATTGAAGTAGACTATAAAAATCATCACATTGACGAAAAGACATCTTTTTTTTTATATATTAGTACAACAATTATTGGTAACGTTGTAATGTACTCACATTGTATCCTATCTATTGTTGGATGAAAATGTATAAAAAATCGACGAACAAAATCAGTACCAACATTATTGTATGAAATAAATATAATTCATCGGAACGGTCTTGGTGGTTTTTCTAGCACTGCAGAGAAGAACACTTCACTATCATCTTTATCTATCTTAGGAACAACAAGCCACTTGTGTTGTTTATACCTGAGAATCTTGAATGCCTCTAAATAATCATTCAACTCTTCCTTCAAACAGAAAAAACTATCAATCCATATAAGTCCACCAGGCCTCAAAACTCTATCGAAGTCATACAACACGAAATCCAGCAGCACAAAATCAATCCATCCATCAAGAAACCTTGTTGTGTGAATCAAATCTAGAGTGTTATCGAAGAATGGTAATCTCTGATTTATCGTCATGTAAAGAGGAATTAGCCCTCGAAGAGCAATCATCTCGTTGAATGGTGCACCGAGGTTAATTGTTGCAGAGACTATAGTCACGTTGTGCTCTCTCATTCTAGCAGCAAATGTGCCCGTGCCAACGCTGAAATCCAGTCCAATTCTGATCTCTCCAGGCTTCAAATTAAGCACTTCTGCTATCAATATATCAGCTGTCATTTCTGAATTCGCGTCTTGATATGAATGAACAATCCATCTTGGAGACTCATGATGTGTAAGATTGAAACAATCTGTGCATTTGAAAAAACCTTTTACACTAGAATTTCTAGCTAAACAAGTGAAATTTTTGCATCTGTATTGACTCCATCTAACATTTTTGTCATCAGGTAACTTCCAAATTGATTCATTTATAGGATATGGTTTATTATACAATTGAGGAGCTCTAGCAAAACATCTTCTTCTAGGTAATGGATCACATCCATGAACCATAAGTTTCTGTGCTAATCTCCAATCATCATTACACATTTCGCCAACGTCATAATCCATGTACTCTTCGAGCTCCGATTTCATTGAGAAACAAGCATGACCTATGCTAGTAAATGTACCATTAGCACCCATAAAGTTCTGTTTCTTCAACCTGTTTGGTTTAATCCTCACATATTTTCGAATTTCTTCAGTTAAGAAATATTCAGCAGGTTCATTTACCTGTTCTGTTTGCCTTGATAAGGAATGTAACACTGCTCCAGGCTCACTGTTTTGTACTAGTAAATTCTGTACTGATTCAACTAGATTTAAAATATCTGCTAGAAAAATAGCCTGTTTTCCGAAAGCTTTTTCATTTGGCAGCTGTCGCAAAATATCAATCTCATGTTGGATCTTCTGGATTACAGTATCCAGTGTTAAATCGACGTGGTGATTGATAGTATAACAGTTGATTGAAGTGTTACAGTTGCAGAAGGAATTCGAAGCTAGAAAAGATCGAAAAGAATAAATTTTGGAGAAAGTAGCCATACATATAAGAAGAGCAAGTATACAGAATATGAAGATTAACCTGTGTATCCCTCTCCATGCTCCCAATTTCTTTATGAGATTTGATTTACGCATCTAGTCTTAGTACTATTGAGATCGAACGATAAGTTCCTCTGCAAAACCTGAACAAATTATAAATGTGGCAGGTAGTCAAGAGAGAAATGATTGAAGCAATTTCAACAGTACTCTATTGAGTAATCATATGGATTATAATGAAGATTAATTTATTATAGTATGAAGATCTTGAGATTAGAGTCCACATGTTGCATTAACTTAAGATGTACTCTTCAAGTTCTTGGGAGAAGTATTTTACCTTATCAGTCCGCATTCTCAGCAAAAATATTTAAAACTTTATCTACTCCGAAGTCACTTTATAAAAATCTATAGATTTATCGTGGCTTGAGAAAAGTTCCAAAGTATATATGGATTAATCAAAGGCGCAATAGCCATCTGCTGCCAAAAGGCTGCATTTGCTACGACTAGTGGTAGCTTGTTTGTTGGTGAAAGTGCATTTCTCACAAAAAAAGTCAGTACTAACAAAGTAGGAATGAAGTTTGTAACAAATAAAAAGCTAAGAATGCCATGTTAGATTTCTTAAACTAGCATGATTAAAAGTAAGACGAGTGAATAGTGAAAAGTAAAGGAAGCTGCATTTTCAATGTGATGGAGTGTACTGCAATATACAACAAAATAACATATCATGTATAATCTCATAACTGGGAGTGGAGAGGATATAGATAGACTTACTTTTAACTCGAAATTGGTTCGATAGACTCAACTTAAAAAACCAGGAAAGTAGGAGAGGAAAAGACACAATAAACTAACAATACGACAACACTATATTATCTTTCTTCCTAATCCTCGACCTCCATGATTGAACTATACAATATATAAATAAAAATAAGTAGACAAGATGAAGTATGAAAGTCAACAGTGCAATATATTTATATTGGAAAAAATAGAAGAGAGACATGGCATAAAAGAAATCCTAGACAAAAGTGACACCAATCCCAAAAGTAAATCTTGAAAGTCTTTAAAGAAATGAGAGGAGGAGGAGGTTTTTGTTTCTTTTAATAGCTCTAGAGGTGTTAATTGGAAAAATAAAAGGCAGAGCGCATCTTCATATCGTTCAATGTGCATGGAAAAAATGCATTCACAAAGACCAACCAAAACTAAAAAAATTAAAGCAGCCATCAAAAGTTCAATTGAAAGCCCATTTTAAGTCCCACCTCCCTATTCTCTTTATGACTGGAAATTGGAATACACCTTTGATCTCCTTTTTTTTTAAAAAAGAAAAAATAATACTAATTTTATTACTAATAATTTTGCTGAGCCAGTATTTGATTCCATTTTTTTTAATTTAATTTTTATTACTAATATTTTTTTGCTGTGCCAGAGAAGGGAATTTGATTCCCCACTAATATTCTTTCAATTTTATTCTTCTTTAAATAGAGAAAGTTTTACCTAATCAAATAACTATTAAAGAAATACCTCTTTTTACGAGATATTTTTATTAAAAATAAATTAATTTTGTGTCGAAACTAAAACCATCATTTGTTTAGAAAAGATGGAGTAAGGGTTCTTTCCTAGCCTAATTATACAGAACATTTGAATTCAACTTACCTAGCGGGAATTATGTGATTACAAGCTATTGTATAAGAGTAGAGATTTTATCCGGTGCGCATTTAAAGAGTAGCGATTACGAATTTTCATAGAAAATTGTAAACAAACATGTAGAAATGAAGGAATAATGTAAACTCATGTGAGGTTAAGATTAATAAAATTATTCTTGAATTAGATTGAAATGAAAATTTGACCAAAGGAGTTAAATTATATAGAGCTTAATTTCACCTTTTACATAAACAAACTTAAATCATGGCACTGGAAATTCCCATATTGTTATGCTTGATATTCTCAATCATCCATTCTGTGTAATCAAGACAAAATAATCACAACACCAAAGCAAATTTCACCTCTAAGAAATGATTTAACCCTAACAGTAAAAAGGGCAAAAATGAAAAATGTAAGTTCCAAAAGATGACTAATTTGACCCTAATAACTAAAACTTTTTACACTTCCAAATTGCCGAAAAAATCAATCGATATTCCAATTATCATACTCTTCGCCGGCCATCGGAGTATTGAGAAAGAGGGACGACCTCCGACAACGGCGTAGATAACGGCGTCGGCAACGGCGAATTCCGGCAAACTGGGCACGAAGCATTCAATTTCAACCAGGCATCTAAACACATAACATGAAAATAATGCTTACAGTCCGGCATCATCCTCAGCATCTCCCCATCCTTATACTCACACAGGCATATAGGGCAAACGACATCGTTTCCATTTCCACTTCCGCCGTTCCTTTTGGAGTAAATCAGCTTCGGGTACGAATTGATAACCACTTGATCAAGCCCCAACGTTGCGTTTTGTGATAATCCGTCGTCGTTTTCTTCATCATCTTCCGCTACGAAAATGATACGGGGTAGGTAAATTCCGTTTTCGATGTTGTTGTTGGGGTTTCGGGAATTAGCTCGAGCCTGGCGGCGGCGGCGGCGAGCAGCAGCGGAACGACAGCAGATGTAAGAAGCAAGGAGGACTGTAGATAGAAGAACAAGGAAACCGAGAGCTATGGCAATTGCGTAGCCGAGGCCGATGGTGCTGAGGTTTTGAGAAAGGGTGTAGGTAGAATCTGGTGGGGCGATGGTCACAGGTGGTGGTGGGGTTTGGCGGCGGATGTCGGAGGTGGACATTGAGAATGGAGAGAAGAAGGGTTGAGAAGGTCCATGAGAAGAAAAGGAGGGTTTAGGGGTAGCGAGAGAGTGGGTGGGTAGATTAAGTGCAGTTGCAGCTACGGCATTTAATGGTGTAGTTTGGAAAACAGAGAAGGTCATTTAATGGACAACATGGGGGGCTGATGACTGATGATAAAAATTGCCCTCTACTTTCTCTCTTTAGTTTGGGTTCGACCATGAATCTTTTGCACCTCTAATTTCTACTTCACCAAATTTTGTTTCAAATTCCTATCCTCATTTATAATAACCTATCCCGGGACAAAGTATTCGAAACACTCTTAAAATTTGATTTTAAAAAATTATTAGTTTTTATTTTTTAATTATTATCCGTTTTAAAAATAATTTTATATTTGAATGATTAAACTTAAATGTATCCTTAATCTTGCTACATAGTTGAAATACTTTTCTAAATTTTTTTCAATTTTAGGATGTTTTTAATATTTTTCTTGTCTTTTTTATAGAAAGTTGCACGTTTCTATAAGAGTTCGAGCCCATTTGCTTTATTACGTGACATATCGAGGATAATTTAAACTAAGTTAGTCAAGTAGAGAAACATTTTTAAGGCTATTAATAGTTCAAGACGAAACTAACAATTTACACCAAATTAAGTGTGCTTTTAATACTTCTCTCCATAATATGTGTTAGAGTGGGTAATAGGTCTCATATTGGTTGGAGAATAGACTGGTGGTCTCCTTTTATAGACTTGGGCAATTCCGAGCTAACTTTTGAGGTTGAGTTACTCGGTATCATATCTTAACATGGTATCAAAGTCAGGTTTATTTCGATTTAGACTTCCGATCTATGCGTCAATTGGGCCTAGGCGTGAAGACTAACTTTTGATGTTGAGTTAGGCCCAACTGCCATGTGACTGTCCAAAAATGAATTATCGGGTAGGATTAGAATTTATTATACCATATCATATTTTGGAAGTTTGATATGTAGTATTTATTATTGGGTAAAGGACAAAAATCACATACTTTTAAGACAGAATTACAATTTGTTTCTCATAAATTTATAATTATAAAAATCTCTCAAACTGATACAATAATATAAACAATAATATATTAATTTAATGCGCGAGATACATTAATCTGATGCGCTGATATTTTAATCTAATGTGCATAAATAAAGTAAATTGGGATTTAAAAAACTAATAGAGAATAATGGTAATAAGAGAATTTTAAGGTAATTTTTTTTTTAAATTGTTAAAAAAAAAAACTTTGAAAATATCAATCTAATACCTAAAGTTCACCGCAAATGATAATGTTTATAGCTTTCTGTTTATGATAACAATTGAGGTGTTTACTTTTCTGCGTGTGAATAATTTTTATATTTATAATGATAAGTAGTGGTATTATGTTAAGCCTCTGTATTCTCCAAATATATCATAGTTATTGATTTATATCAAATTCACCAACAAACAAAGTTTGAGAACTCTGACTATTTATTTACATTTGAATTTTGAGTCGTGTAGGGAGGGATTGTTTGTTTATTATATATTGGAGAAAAATTGATGAGTGATTGATTGATATTTGTTGTTAAATTCACAAGGTTAGGACTTTGATATTAGAAATCTAAATTTTATACTTTGATTTTTGTTAGCTCACATGTTAAATGTTAAATAAATTTATAAATATATATTTTTTAAAAATGTACGATAATACCGAATTCTCCTATTATATCATAATATAACTAATATACAAATATTAAAATATCCACTTTTAATTAAAATTATGACATTATCAAAATTAAACTTTCAAATTATCAAATTGAATATCGGACAAATCAAGTATGATAGACCCTTCAAGATGTAAAGGGGTGGAACTATCATTATCTAAACACTCTAATAAAAATAACTTTTAGCAGCGATAAATAGAAACATTAATAAAGAATATTAAAGTCTTACCTGCACTGTTTAAAGTGTCATTAGATCTAATATTTCTAAAGACATAAACAAAAAATGCTAATTACCGCTTAAAATATATATTCAACGCACAATTACTAATTAATTACCGCTGAAGCTCATATTTAATTAGTAAAATAGAGTCAATTTGACACATCTACTCAATAGTTATCATGTAAATAAATTAAAATTATATATATGCTCTAAATTTCGTTTGTGAAAATTTTAATTTTAGTACGAAATTAAAATGCTTTTCAATAAAAATAATATTTAACTATTGAAAATAAAAAATTCCCACCTTTCCACTATACTCTTAAAGGTATCAACATGAGACATCAACAACATATTCATTTATGTCCCAAAAATAAAAATTTAATCCAAAATTTGAGAAAGCAACTAGAAGGAAAGTTATTAAACAAAACGATATATCTTCCGGAGTAACCTAACTCTAGGAAAGAAACTATAATTAACGTTAAGAACAAATCTATTACGTTAAATTATATAAATCATTTTTGATAAGCTAAACTTAAAATTAGAAAAAATTGAGTAAAATTACTCTTCTAAAGAGTGAGGCTAATTTATAACATCGAATAGATTTGAAATTGATGAATATGTAGAAGGTCATAGCACTAATTGAATGATCAAAGTGTCAAACATAATTTATTAATGTATTATAATTTATAGTCTTGGTTCTATGTGTTCAATGCAATTTGATTGGATCCCAACATATATACACGGATCTAATAAATTATCTACCTTACTTTCAAACTTGATTAAATAACTACCTACCATTTTTCTATTTTCTCAATTAACATTTATTTCATAGTTAGTTGAGATTTAGAAGAAAGTACTTCGTCATTTAGATTTACATAATAATTTACTTTCAACAATCATGATAAATAATTTGAAAATAAAGAAATAATTAGTTATTAAATTTTAATGTCATTAAAATTAATTATCATACATAAAGTATGACGTTAAAGTGAAAGCGCTTTATGAAAAAGTTAGCTCTAAGCCCGGCTCCTTTGGCGTACCTTCGTGTCATATAGAATAATCTATTTTAAATTCTTTGTCTTTTTTCATGAAAAAAAAAACCTAAAAATATAATGGTTATTGAGTCGGATCTATTCGTCATATGGTAATTGACCTATATTAACCTATTATTATCTCAGTAGCTTGTTTACCTCTTAAATTTAATTTACATATCATTATGCGTATTAAAAAATAGACAAGTTTTCAATCCTATTGTGACAACTAGAAGTTTGCACAAAGAATACACTATAAACACATTCTAAAGAATATCTAAGACTTTAAGTTATAAATAGAGCGAATCATTTACTTCGTCAGAATCATACAACTCAAAGTTATAATTACTATTAGATCCAATTTCATAACAAAAAAAATATGTAAATCTCCTAACTTAGAAAATTTGATCACGTAGATTTTCTATTTCGCCAGAATTCATTGATTGCTCCGTACGAATTCACAATGCAAAATTTTTTGTTCGTTGTAAGATTACTGAAGGAAAGGTTGATCATAAATTTGGAGAGTTTGCTTCTACACGAAAATGA